GGAGCTATGAACCTAGCAAATGTTCATATTGACTTAAATTGGAAAACTCTGCTGCAGGTGCATTAAGGGATTTAACTGGTTCTACCATTAACTGACTATCTGATCAAGCCTTTTAAGTAAAATATTGATCTGCTAACATATCCATTTTCCTGTAAGTTAATAACACTTATAAAGGGTGTTCTTCTGACATTGCTAACTAGGTATAAACTTCAATATACTTAAAGAGTGTGTACAGTAATTTGTGTATATTTATTTTACATATTATGTTCAGGGTAAAGAAAAAAATATTATTTTTTATTGTTTTCTATCTTGTAAGAAGAATATTGCATATTTGATATTGCATGGGAACAATAAAGTGGGGTTATTTACTAAAGGGAAATAGGCTGTTCACTTTGCAAGGCAATTTTCCCTTATCTTGAGTATCTTTGGTATATATTGCAAATTCACTTTGCAATAAATACCCAATCAAGTGCAAGGAAACTAAGAAAAACATTCTTGCTTGCACATGACTGGATAATGGAAGCCAGAAAACTTTCACCCTGCAAAGTGAAAGTTCCCCTACACAGTGAACATCCAATTTGTCTTTAGTAAATCACACCCTTTATACTTTTCACTTACAGTTACAATTCTGGCTGCATCCACATTTTTTTTGCCAAATGTTATAAATGTGATGTAAATAGCATGACTAGGCTGTGTAATTTGATTTCTCACTGTTCAGATTTATTCACAACACCTGAATGAAAAAGGACAAAACCCTCCACACTGCATGCTAGCTAATAGAGATCCATATGGATTCTTAGCTATAGCTGGTTCTGTCTACATCACAGGCAATCCTAGCTTCCTAAGTAACCAAGTTCATTTTGGTGACAGGGACATACAATGTTCATCTCTCTGAACACTCTCTAGCCAACAAGCATTGATAAAAAAAATGTATGCTTGATGGAGACTTAGGGGTCTATATATTTATTTATTTATTTATTTATTTATTTATGTTTTCACCCAGGATTCATGTAACTGTCATTTAAGACCAATTTTTTGCACAAGATTCAAAAATGGTTGAATCTTGGGTGAAAGTTGCTTGAATCTTGGGTGTGTCCATGGGTTCCATGGCAATTTACTCTAACAGTAAATTTACTTTAAATGCACTCAACAATGACTTCAATACTCTCACACATAGTTTCCCTGAGTACCACCAGGCTCATATCAGTACAGTGATACTCTTAGAATAGTTTTCACAGAACCAGCAGAGTGGAATGAATGGGCTTGTATCTACCACTCTAGGTAAAAGCTAAAACCTAAGCCTACAAGCAAAAACAAGGCAAAGCAATATACAAAAGTGACCTTTATTTGGATGAGTCTATGCGGAATTGTCTAAAGCGATTCTAAAGGTTCATTTTATGGGGGGAAAATAACAAACATGTTATACTTACCTGCTGTGTGCAATGGTTTTGCACAGAGCAGCCCAGATTTTCCTTTTCTCGGGTCCCTTGCTGGTGCTCCTGGCTCCTCCTTTCTGTCGGCTGTCCCCACAGCAAGCAGCTTGCTATGGGGGCACACGAGCAGGTGTGTTCCTAAGCCGCTGCTCAGTGTGTCCATTCACACATGGAGATGCAGATTGGCCCCACCCCTCTCTCTCCTCATTGGCTGACTCACTGTGATTGACAGCACTGGGAACCAGTGGCTCCCACCTGCTGTCTCAGCCAATGAGCACTAGAGACCCGGGACAGCCAAGGCTGTTGTGTACATCGATGGAATGCATGAAGGTAAAAAACCTTGAGCCTTTACAACCACTTTAACTTTCTGGTTGCCTTTGGTAATTGCTGCTTAATGGCTTCACTGTGCACATACAACATGTCTTAAAAAAGGAAAAATAAAATGTACATGCTATTTTGGCACTACATATTTGAATTTTCACATCTGCTAAAGTCATATTAAAAGACTCACTCCAGAATAAGCTTTTAAAGCAATTGTAAAGGCAATTTGTTTTTTACAAATGGTATTGCACAGAGCAGCCCGTATCCTTCTCTTTTCAGATCCCCCACCAGCGCTCCTGGCCCTTTCCTCCTGCCAAATGCCCCCATAGCAAGCTGCTTGCCACTGAGGAGGCTTGCTCCTGTTCATTCATAAACAGTTGTGGCTCGTCCCTGCCCCCCGCTTTCTCCTCCTTGGTTCACTGGCTGTGATTGAGAGTAGCAGTAGCTAATGACTCCCACTGCTGTCTCAGCCAATGAGGAGAGAGAAATCTGGGACAGCCATGGCATTTTGCACAGTGATGGATTGAGAAGGGGTTCAGGTGAGTATTAGGGGGGGGGGCAGGGGGGCTGCTGCACACAGAAGGTTTTTTACCTTCTTGCATAGGGTTTGCACTGAACAGCAAGGGAAAGTGTTATGGACCACCTGGTGTACTCTAGCAGTCCACAGGACAGGATTCCCCAGGCGCGGAGTCTAAGCCCCAGTCTGCTTGTTCACCAGAGCCCCTGATGGTGGGGATGGGCTTGGAGCGAACAGTGACCAGGTCGCGGCCCATGAGTACATCCACCTGAGGTAGAGAAATCACCAGAGGTAATGACAGGTGGAGAGCCTGATGTGAAAAGGCAGACAGGTCTGGAGAGTAGCAGCTAATCCGTACGGGTCGGATGGATGGCTGAGCAATAGCGTGGTCAGACGGGCCGGGTCGGTAACGGGCGGACAGCGTGGTACAAGACAGCAGGCACAGAGGAATCGGGTCACTCGCCGGGTCTGGTACCAAAAGTTCATATCGGAAGGGATATCCAGAAGAGTAGTCAAACGAGCCAGAGGGTCAGGGCAGGAGAATATCAGCAAGGTGAGGTACAAGCAAGGTCAGCAACAGTCAGGAATCAATTCACAGATCACAGGAACAAGATCAGACCATACAGCAACTTGTATCTGTGCAGGGCTGGTTTAAGTAGCCCGCCCTGTGCCTGATAGGTGCAGCCTAGGTCCTAGTGCCTGCCCAGCACCGTCATAGGTGATGGGTGCGCCTGGGTCCTAGTGCCCTGCTGCCTGCATGTCTTGACAGACACCTACGCATGTGGAGACCCATGCGTCGCGATGGTCCCTGACAGAAAGTTAGTTTTGCACTGAGCACAGCTAACAAAGGGGTGTGCATTCCCAGAAAAGTGTAAGAAAGAGCATTGCACTTTCAGTGCCATTAATTCTTAATGGCAAAATAAATGAAAAACTTCTGTGCTTTAGAGACAGACCTCACACTCTTGTGCAGCCACTAGCACCGAAAATTCTTAATTGCACCCCAAATGTGGGTATCAGTCACTCATTTTGTCAAGAGACATGGAAAAAAGAAAGTGCTAAGTGGCACAGATGTGCATGTCCCCTTAATACTACAGCACAGGATGTATACAGACAATGACATTTGTGGTAACTCTAGCAATTCTGAGCAATAGCAATTGTAAGTGTAAAATTGTGCCAAGTCTAAGACTATCAGTAATAAAAAGGTACCACATCCCAGAAATTGTACTAAATGAAAAAAGAAAAGAGAAGGGTGGGATACTCTAGGTACCAAATAACAACATGGATATAAAAAAGTACAAAATGTATAGGACAAGATTACAAATTACACATAACATATATAATTAGTTTGAGCTAGATTATGGCTACATAGGTGAGTCAATTATTTTCCATCTGCTGAGAAGTTTCCAGATGGATTTAAAGACCTTTAAACCTCAATGCGTTTCAGCTCTTGACAAGCCTTTATCAGGAGAAGAAAATGGTCTAGGATGAAAACACATATGGATAAACACCGCTTGTAAACATAAACAAAAAGGCCATTCATGTAACATGGGCTACCTATACATAACCAAAAACAGAGATAAATAAAAAAGCACATATAGATGGATGCATGTCCTATATGGTGGACCTCCAATGGGATCAGGTAAGATGCAAAGATGGAAAACCAGCGAGTTGGTGCAAAACATAGAGGTAACAAGCCTAAACAAAAGAGATATAGTAGTAATATTGTGGCCACTGATAGAGGGCCCCATATATAAAAAATACAGTAACAACATAGTAAAAAACTATATTAGTTACCTACTAAGATCGGAATATGGTGAATATTGACTTTAAGGGTCCAAATTGCCACAATGGATACACACCAATCCTACTGCTTCATACACCTGGATAGGCAGGGTCTCATAGAGCAAAATCTAAACATGGAACACAATCACTGACCAAAAGAACCCCAACAAGCTCAAAAGTTGGCAAATTAATTTATGGCAATGTTTTTATACCTATCAAAACAGGATGTCACAAGATGTAATTCCAGGGGTCACAAAAAGAGGGGTCACAATGATTCCAAAGCAGTGGTAGTACCCCATACAACAGCCATATAACACCACACACGGCCTTTAGTCCATTAGCAAGAAAATTAAGACATACACCTAGTAAAGAAGCATATAAAACAATATAGGATTATTCTCAATCGCTTAACCTCCCTAGCGGTCTGATTATGTCTATATTTCTGTGCTCAAAGCGGTACATTTTTTTGCATTGAAATATGCATTTTTTTTATTGTAGGCCTGTAATTTTTAAGAATAACTCACTGAAATCTGTCTGAACAAGAGTCTAGTAAACATCCTGGGTATGTTACAATTTGAAACACGAAATCATAAATTATAATTTAATAAATAATCATAAAAAATAATAATACAATAATAATAATAATACATTTATTTCAATAATGTAATCAAACCAAAAACACTGAAATATGAAATATAGCGCCAAGTTCGCACATCTCTGAGCAAAGTCGCAAAATCGTTTTCAGTGTCTGATGATGAATTTCCCCACGAATCATTATCACTCAATTCTGCAAGTGGTTCTGATTTACTATCGCTGTTCTCTAGCTGGTCTAAAATCGCTTTTGACCTAAAGGGACGCTTTTTGGACGCCATAGACTTTTCTCAGTTTCTAGGCAGAAAGAACAGTAAAAATGCAGGCAGGGCACAGGACAAAGCACTCAGAACAAAATGTATGTGAAATGGTTTGATACAGTAATGTTTTACTATGTTATTTTAGTGTATTTAGTGAATGTCACAATATGTCATTTTCAAATTTCCCGCCGTTCCATCCCCCGTACGTCCCGACGCTTGCAGGGGATGGAACCCAGACGGCAGATGCTGGCATCCGCCGGGTTACATTGCCGGGGACACTGCAGGAGGGACATCGTGGGAGTGCAGGACAAGGTAAGTGATTGAGGGATCACGGAGCAATGCCGCATGGTAAGCCGAGTGTAGCTCGAGGTTACCGCTTTTGGTACTGAAACTTTACCCCGAGCTACACTCGGGAATACCGCCAGGGAGGTTAATAAGGTGTTAACTGCCAAATATGCACTGTTCAAAAAAACTAAAGAAACACTTTGAAAACACATCAGATTTCAATGGGGCATATATCATGCTGGATATTTATACTGATATGGACTGGGCAACGTGTTAGGAACGTAAGCATGCCCATTATTTGATGGAAATAAAAATGATCAACTTACAGAGGACTGAATTCAAAGATACCCCGAAAATCAAAGTGAAAAAAAGGATGCAGCAGGCTAGTCCATTTTGCTGAAATTTCATTAGAGCAACTCAAAATGGTGCTTATTAGTATGTATGGTCCCCACGTGCTTGTATGCATGCCTGACAATGTCGGGGCATGCTCCTAATGAGATGGATGGTGTTTTGGGGTATTTCCTCCCAGATCTGGACCAGGGCATCACTGAGCTCCTGGACAGTCTGAGGTACAACCTGATGGCCTTGGATGGACCAAAACATGATATCCCAGAGGTGTTCTATTGCATTTAGGTCAGGCGAGCGTGGGGGCCATTCAGTGGTATCAATTCCTTCATCCTCTAGGAACTTTTTTTTTTTTTTATTACTATTTTGGATTTATTTATATTCCGGCCATGTGTAGTTTGCCGGTTTTTCTGTACGTTGTTTGGTTGCTATTTTATAATCAATTTATTAATTCATTTTTATACGTATCTGTTTTAGCTAACTATATCTACATATTTATGTATTATTACAGAGCCTTCTGCTGTTATATATCTATTTATTTACTATTTATTATTCAAATCATGTATATATGTATATCCTTTATATGCGTTTATTTTAATATGACTACATCAACAGATCTATTTAATTTATTATGATCTAGCCGTATATGTTACTTAATAATTTTAATACTATGTACCATGTAAAATTATTTATATGGGATATTCTTTATTAACAATTCATTATATAACTATATCCATCTAAGCTGTGGTGCAATACCTCCTTGCAACAGACACATTATTAGTTCAACAGACATGGATAACGTTGTCCTTTATCCTGCCTATTTGTTTACAGTCCTTTATCTCCCTGGCAAGTCATAGTTGCTGATAGTATTCCAATCTGCCGATTATTGGCATAATGTTCTATTTTTAGTTCACTATCTCCCTGGTGATTCAGTGGTGTGTTAGGACTGCATTCTATTGAGCACTGGCATAATGGCCGCCAGCTGCACCTAAGACGCATGCGCTGTGGCCACTAGGTCTGCAGTTACTACACTATAAAAAAATGGCCGCGGCGCATTCACACTGCGCAACTGAGAACTGAGTGATCAAAGGCCACTGATTGCTCAATTCTCAGTGCTCCGTGAACAGAGAACTGGTGACTGTCAGTCAATGCTCTCTGCTCTACCCCCTCCCCGCACACTTATTGGAGCACTGGGCTATGGAGGGGGAGGGATCGGCTGGCTCAGGCTCTTAACAGATCGCTGAGAGGCTGATACATGTGCCGGTCCATGGATTTGGATGGATCCTGACTGTAAGGTAGGGATCTTTCCCCAGTCTGGACCGGCTGAGTGACAGTTGGCTTCAGCCTGCTGTTGGCTGAAAACAGGTCACAGAAGTGCAGAGAGAAATGCACTCTTCTGATCCACAGGAGAAGTACAGCCAAGCAAGCTTTGGCTGTACTTCTCCTTTAGGTATATTTAAAATGTATATTGGGGTATTCTGTGCATTTTAATACTTTCATGTAATAAAGTGTATTCTGTTGCTGTATATATATTTGTGGATGCAGCTTCATGTTTATACATGCTTTTGTATCTGACTATACAGTTACAGCTATTATAGTATAATGAATATGTGATGGTGATATGATTGCATGATGTATGTGTAGTAGATCTAATATTATAAATATATTATGGATGACATAGTATAAGCAATATACTAGAAATAATAATATAATAAATGTGTCCTGGATATAATAAGGTTGTATAACAATGTACATAACAGTATGATGTGTAAGTCATGCATAAAATCGCACAGTAGCAGCATGGTCAGTATTACTGTTGTAATATAGAGACACAGCTGCATACACTTGAAAGTGATTCACTCATTGCCATTGTAACCTAATGTTTCTCTTGAGTATGCTGCCATTTCACAGGCCACTGGGTCAAAAAAAACTCTTCTCTCTGTTCTTCATTTTCTGTATGCCTTACTTTTTTCTATTGCTCTTTATTTGAGATTCTGGCTTCATTCAGGGACACGTTTCCCTCTCATGTCTGTCCTAGTGCCTTTGAGACTTCAGAAATTACATGCTGACTTGGTAAGAAATGATTGCAATGTTCCTGATGTCTTGCAGAGCTTGAAGATGTTATACAGCAGTAGAAATCAACAACAAGTTCATTACTTTTAGGTAAGTTTTCTGATATATGTCAATGGACTTTTTCAGTGAGCTCAGTGTAAATTTTAACTGAATTCCAGCAACACAAAGAAACTTATTATAGGTGTATGTGATCTGCCAGATATAACAGATCATTTTTTTGCACTTGCTTACTGTAGTGATGATGATTAGAGATGAGCGAATTATTCAAAAATTCGATTCGGCAATTCGCCGAATTTGCGGGATGAAATTTGATTCGATGCGAATTATTCGCTGCGAATTTAACTAATTAAAAAGGGTTTCTAGGCTTCAGAGAGCCTTTATATTAGTGCAGAACACTGTACCTTTAATTTTTAAATGCCCTTGGAGTCTGCTGGGGAAGAGAAATAATACTGTCTGTCAGTATGACATGCAGATGAGTGCCGTCGATCTTAGAATCACCGCACACTTCACTCATTTGGGCAGTCACGGGGCACGACACGAAGAAGAAGAAGAAGAAGAAGAAGAAGAAGAAGAAAAGAAGAAGAAGAAGAATGAAAAGAAGAAGAAGAATGAAAAGAAGAATGAAAAGAAGAAGAAGAATGAAAAGAAGAATGAAAAGAAGAAGAAGAAGAATGAAAAGAAGAAGAAGAAGAATGAAAAGAAAAATGAAAAGAAGAATGAGAAGAATGAAAAGAAGAAGAAGAATGAAAAGAAGAAGAAGAATGAAAAAGAAGAAGAATGAAAAAGAATGAGAAGAATGAAAAGAAGAATGAAAAGAAGAAGAAGAATGAAAAGAAGAATGAGAAAAAGAATGAAAAGAAGAATGAAGAAGAATGAAAGAATGAAAAGAAGAATGAAAAAGAAGAATGAGAAGAATGAAAAGAGAAATGAAAAGAAGAAGAAGAAGAATGAAAAGAAGAAGAAGAATGAAAAGAAGAAGAAGAAGAAGAATGAAAAGAAGAATGAAAAGAAGAAGAAGAATGAAAAGAAGAAGAAGAAGAATGAAAAGAAGAACGAACTATATTACTATATCAGTCTCTAATGGATGCTGGGAGAGTTAAACCCCCTAACACCTGCTGTGCCCATTATGAGGGGTTCCCACCATCCCTGTGCTGAGTTCTGGGTATGCACACCTGCTGTGCCCATTATGAGGGGTTCCCACCATCCCTGTGCTGAGGTTCCAGGTCTGCACACCTGCTGCGCCCATTATGAGAAGTTCCCACCATCCCTGTGCTGAGTTCCTGGGTCTGTACACCTGCTCTGCCCATTAGGAGGAGTTCCCACCATCCCTGTGCTAAATTCCTGGGTCTGTACACCTGCTGTTCCCATTATGAGGGGTTTCTACCATCCCTGTGCTGAGATCCCAGGTCTGCACACCTGCTGCGCCCATTACTAGGGGTTCCCACCATCCCTGTGCTGAGGTTCTGGGTATGCACACCTGCTGTGCCCATTATGAGGGGTTCCCACCATCCCTGTGCTGAGGTTCCAGGTCTGCACACCTGCTGCGCCCATTATGAAAGTTCCCACCATCCTGTGCTGAGTTCCTGGGTCTGTACACCTGCTCTGCCCATTAGGAGGAGTTCCCACCATCCCTGTGCTAAATTCCTGGGTCTGTACACCTGCTGTTCCCATTATGAGGGTTTCTACCATCCCTGTGCTGAGGTCCCAGGTCTGCACACCTGCTGCGCCCATTACTAGGGGTTCCCACCATCCCTGTGCTGAGGTTCTGGGTATGCACACCTGCTGTGCCCATTATGAGGGTTCCTACCATCCATGTGCTGAGATTCCGGGTCTGCCCACCTGCTTTACCCATTATTAGGGGTTCCCACTGTCCCCTGTGTTGAATTCCTGGGTCTGTATGTACACCTGCTGTGTCCATTGTGAGGGATTCCCACCATTCCTGCACTGAGTACCTGAGTCTGTACACTGCCAAAAGAAAGTTTCAGGATTTTGAAGGAGCAAAATACAGTAATACTGGAACAAAATGAGCTGCGTGGTGGAGTTGCCAGAAAAGAAGAAGAAGAAAGAAAAAGAAGAGAAAAGAATGAAAAAAAGAAGAAGAAGAAGAAGAATGAAAAGAAGAAGAAGAAGAAGAAGAATGAAAAGAAGAATGAAAAGAAGAAGAAGAAGAATGAAAAGAAGAAGAAGAAGAATGAAAAGAAGAATGAGAAGAATGAAAAGAAGAAGAAGAAGAATGAAAAGAAGAATGAAAAGAAGAAGAATGAAAAGAAGAAGAAGAAGAATGAAAAGAAGAATGAAAAGAAGAATGAGAAGAATGAAAAGAAGAATGAAACGAAGAAGAAGAATGAAAAGAAGAATGAGAAGAAGAATGAAAAGAAGAATGAGAAGAATGAGAAGAATGAAAAGAAGAATGAGAAGAATGAAAAGAAGAATGAAAAGAAGAAGAAGAATGAAAAGAAGAATGAAAAGAAGAAGAAGAAGAATGAAAAGAAGAAGCAGAATGAAAAGAAGAAGAAGAAGAAGAAAAGAAGAATGAAAAGAAGAATGAGAAGAATGAAAAGAAGAAGAAGAAGAATGAAAAGAAGAATGAAAAAGAAGAAGAAAAGAAAAAGAAGAAGAAGAAGATGAAAAGAAGAATGAGAAGAAGAAAAGAAGAAGAAGAGAATGAAAAGAAGAATGAAAAGAATGAAGAAGAATGAAAAAAAGAAGAAGAAGAAGAATGAAAAGAAG